TAAGTGATACCCCATTATCATCAACCAATTTCAAAGAACAGGAATGAGTATCATCAATGACCTTCATAACTGAGGCTGTTAGGACACCTTCGAAAGCAAGATTTGCAAATGCTTCACAGGCTTCTGCACTCCAGATATTATCTTTAGGACTGACACCAGCTAAACTGCTCCTGAATGCAAACACTGGCTGGCTAAGCAATGATTCTTGAATGGTTTTCACCTTTGATTTTTGCAAAATGGCTGTGTTTCCATAATCCACATATCGAACAGTTGTTTGATCCTCACTGCAGTTGGTGATAATAGCACGATACCAAACTCCTTCCTCCTCGACGGGTGCTACACATGGCATACCAACTCTTTGCTGTGCCATTATTTCCAAGTCCTCACCTTTAAAAAATCAATAAAAATATTTTAGTTAATTCCAAATAAATTGAGTACTATTCAAGGTGTGAAATGCATCTATATTATAAATTGAGTAAGCCCATATGTTTGTGCCGATTTGCCGTCCAGACACGCGCACAGCTCTGGAAGAAACATATCGAAGCACCATTCTTTTAAATGTCTTATTATGACTGGTATATTTAGAGCTCCTATTTATGTCTATTAAAATACCATAAAAAACAATTTTACGAATCTACAAAATAATGGACGAGGATTGTGAGAATTCATTATTCAAATTACGTTGTCTACATCCATCAAATTTTAGCATGTATTGTACAATCCATTTTTTCTCATATTCTTTACCAGTATGTTTATCTAACCTGCTTTAACACTATAAACGAAATTATTATTGGCTCATGTTTTTCTTTATTTAAAAAGTAATTTGACTTTCATTTGCAAAGTTCTTTCTAAATTATAGTTCGACTGGGCTCACAGAATGATTGTTTAAATGATAATAATAATAGTAATAATAATGTTACACTTGTATAGCGCTTCAAATAAAACAAAAAAGTGTTTTAAAAAAAAATGAAGAAAAACATAAAATTGGCTCAACAAAAATGCAAAATCTTCAAGGGGCCACCATCCGACTCCACTATAGCGTACCCAGACCCCTACCTAGGTGATACACCTGGGTGGATTTATAGGCGGCAATGGTCGCCACCCCACCCACCACCATTTACATGTTAAAGTGCTTTTAAATGTTAGCTGGCAAAAAAATGTACAGATGTTAAGTAAATAGTAAG